TAGCTCTTTAAAGGCGAAGGTTGCGACAACAGTCATTGTGAATGACGACTCAGAGACTCAGTTTAGTTGAACAGCGTAACGGTAAAAATTTGCGCTCCTTTGTTGTCTTCAAATGATTGTGACTAAAAGTGACCGGACAAAGTTTAAACGTTAGTTTTTGGCCAATTGTTATGATATGACATATTATGTAGATTTTTATAACAAAGATATAAAATTTAATTGAAACACGTATAGGCGCGTACAGTTTTGCGTATGAATGAAACCAAGTTGCAGCTGAAATTCCGACCTGGTACCATCCGGATACGGGACTGTCTTGTGTTCATATGTAATTAAATTTTTCTAAGTGTTCCATATCCGTTTATTTTAGGACATCAAGAATCTTTGAATGTTAATGATTTCAAACTTTAGATGCACCAACAGACCATTCTGACAGTCTGTGTAACTGAGTTTGCCAAATGCAATAAAAACTTCAGAAACAATGCTAGTCGTCAATGTAGCAAGGGCTTATCCATCGCTTTTGTCTTTGATGGCGTTCAATCACAAATCAGCATCACATGCTTGGTTTTTAGTTGATATTTTCACTTATCGAGTGCCGCATGGAGGTAGGACTTCCAGTGACGTTTCGCTCGCCTTCTCTCTTGTACATTGTCTGGTAGAGTTGCAAACCAATATTTATGCGATTTTTTGTTAAATGTTGTGCCCAGCTCTGTTGTTCTCAGTCTGTAGGTGGTTGCACAGTAAATGGAGCGTTAAACTCAGAATCTACAAGTCCTGTGTTTGAGCCCTGGTCAGGGTCACTGCGCTTTTTCCTTCTGAGGTTGATAAATAAGTACAGCTTTGTGGGAAGGAAACAGGGAACTATACACTGTGTTTTCAACATGGCTGCTATCGACTCTGCTTTTAAAAACTAAGGTTACTAATTTACTTACTGTTTAAATAACTAACTTACTAACTTAAAAACTAACAAAACTAACCAATCCTGACTGATCGACATGGAAATGGAGATGATTGCCCTCCATTAACTTCTTCAAAAGTTGGGCTGGATAAATGCCCCATCATGAAAGTGTTCGATGGATACAACACTCCAACGCTTACAAACTTTAATTCTTTTTTCTTCCTTTTTACCAGTTTTACGCTGACATTTTGCAGACTACTTCCCTCTCCGGCGTGAAATGAACACACTATAAACTGCGCTGGTAATAATCCATTTATTTAGAAGGTCGCCAATCCCATGCAACGTCAACTGGCAGCCGTATCAATCATGTGTGGAAAACAGGCTTTGTAGCACCGACGGCTGATAACATAACAGTGTTAAGCGTTTTTCTGAATTAAATTTTATTTATTAAAGCGCAACTGTACAGGCTAATCCTTTCAGTGTAATTTGGTGAGAAATTCTCTACCCTCCAGATTATGATTAATCTAGTAGCGCTTCATGCATTCGATGTCGGATTTGTTTTTAAAATTCTGTAGTTTTTTTTTGGGGGGGGGAGGGGTTCATCGTCATTTTGGTCTGCTACCAGTTCGTAGTGAGATATCTGGTGATTTGCATCGTCTAGGATCTTTCTAGCAAAACGCAGGCGTATTTTTGGTTACAGGGTCGATCATTCGTTTTGCCACAGTTTCGACGAGTATTCCGCCGACATGCGACATAAGACGCAATGCCTGACGCATTAGTTCAGCTTTGTGCATGCTCAATATACCCGTTAGACCTGTGCGATAAGTGGCGCTCGTAAATCTTTGCACCCCCTTCATTTCTGAATTGGCCACGCACGTGATAGGATGCCTTCCAGATCTTTTTGAAAACAGTTGTTATGTGAGCTGACAATCTTTTACTTTCTTTTCCTAGCTTTGCCTCGTATAAATATATTGATTTGTGAAAGATGAAAACTTGTCGTATTCTCCCGGGGACACAGATAAATTGAATTAAATTATCATTCTCTTGTAGTGCGTAGCAGAAGACTGACAATTCTTAGCCAATTATTTTCGGTTTGCTTCAGTTCCAGGGTTGACTTGGCGTTGTGTATCGAGATCGCTTTCTTGTTGTTTATTTGTTGAAATTTTCGGTTCTTTATTTTATCAGACTGAAAGATGATAATATTAATTCCCAATTCCGTGATCCTTGATGACATAGAAATGGAGATGAGCATCACACCTTCAACTTCATGAAAGAAGGGCTTCAAAAGGTCCAATCGTTAAAGTTAAGGTCGACTGATGTTCCGTCGATGACTATCTTTTTCTTTCCTTTTCATGTTCCATTGTTGCGTTTTAGTCTATATAAATAAAATATTACATTTTCATACATTCTAATTTATGCTCAGTAATTTTGAAATTCCTTCCGATTCTGTCTTTTTTCAGTAAAATCTGAATTTGACTAGTTCTCGATTCAAAGCATGGACCAATGTAACAGTCTTTTCTTAGAACTACTCACCTCAGTTTGCCTGAGAACAAAAAGAATGGGCACAAAAATACCCTGTAAATGGGTTAATAATATAACAAATGTTGTGTAATCGATCGTAGTACTTTTGCGGTGAATCAGAGTACCTTCCAGGGGGAGTTTTCGGGCGTCTAATCGCTGAGAATGATAAAACTGGTATTTAATTGGCTTTGTACGCACACACTAATTTGTAGTACCACTACTAAAGTGTTTTTCGGTCCTAGTGACGTTTCAGCAAAACAACATAGGCGATGTAAAGATGCCAAACAATGAGATTGAGGAACCTGGCCTGTCGTCCCTCCCTTGTAATTGTTATTGTTATTGGAGGTTGTTATTTCTTGTAATGGTTCTACCTGTTGCAGCGGTCAAATTGTTAGGCTTGAGGATAGTCGATATTGTTTAACAGAAATGTCGATGGTTCTATAAAGACTGTACCATCTGTGTCTGTTTCTTGGCGCGAACGTGAAACCTTAGTGAAACGAGCGGTTGTGCCTCAGCTCACTGAG